AATTCCTTTATTTTAGCTAAAAAATAATAAAGATATATTTCTATAAATAGCCTTTATTTTATATCTCAAATAGTTTTATTTCTTTTTTATTTATTTATAAAATCTTTCTTTTTTTAGCTTTAATAATATTTAATATATTTTAAAATATATAATAATATTATTAATAATATTTAATAAATAAAAGTATTTCGAAATTAATAGTAATTTAAACTTAAAATTATATATAATATTATCTCTAATTCTAATTTATTTAAAAAAGCCTTAGAAAAGCTATTTCTAATATTTAATAACTAGTATTACCTCTATTATTATAAATAAGCTCCGAGAACTTTATAAGATATAATAATAGCTTTTATTAATAAAAATTAATAGATTTCTATAATTAATCTGGAGCTATTAATTATTAATTTCAGGTATAGTAATTAGTAATAATATAATAAGGCTAGGCTATTTAAGGCAAAGCTCTAAAATATATTTATAATAAATAATTAAAATTATAATAAATACTAAATATAGCTTTTATTATTTTACAAATTATAAGTTTTTATTACTTATATTATATATATTATAATTATTATTAGTATTTATAAAATAATAGGTTTTATTATTAATTTTTATATATATATTTTAATATTCTTGCTTTTATATTATAGGCTTATATCCTAATATTAGATTAGCTAAAATAAAAGAAGCTTATAATATATAGTAATATTTATTACTAATTAAAATTATTAAATACTTAAAATAGATTTTAAATTATATTTGGTTTAATAAATAAAAAAAAGGTATTATTTGAAATATATTCTATTAATAACCTATTTCTTAAGATTTCCTAAACTAGTATATTAAATAATTAGATTAGATTAGATTAAATATTTATTAATTTGATTTATTTATAAAAAAAACTTATTAATTATATTTTATTTATATATTAATTAGTCCGCACGTGACCCTAATATATAATAGTACTAGCCGAATCTAGTAATACTTCTATCTGCTCTAGCTCTAGTATTATACTAATTAGAAGTAATAATATTTAATAAATAAGCTAAAGCCAAATAATAAAAAGAGAAATATAGAGATTTCAAAAAAAAAATAACTAGTTTATTATTATTAAAAGTTAGTATTTAGCTATTATTATATAAACTCTAACTTAGTTTAATTAGGGCTATTTAATAAATAATTATTAAATAATTATTAATTTACTATAGTTATATAATAAATTAATTAGATTAATTATAATTAATTAAATTAATTATTCTGATTTAATTAATTATTCTAATTTAATTAAAAAAAATGAATTATATTAATTATATTCTAATCTAATCTAATTATAATTAATCTAATTAATCTAATTAATCTAATTAATCTAATTAATTCTTTAATATATTATTCTAAATAAAATACTTATAAACTAGTTACTTTTGAGTTTAGTAATTAATATAGAACTAAATAAAATTCTTAATTAATCTTTAGTAATTCAGATATAAGTATTAAAACCAAATATATTAACTAGATATTTAAAAACTTTTCTGCTTTTATATAAGCTAAAATATATATTATAAATTCGGAAAATATTTATTTTTATTTATAGAGCCAAGTTTTGAGAAAATAGTTTATAAAATAGCTATAATATTAATATTTATATATTGTTTTTATTAAATTAAGAATCCGATCTATTTAAATATTTCTTTTATATAACTCGGTATTATATTATTTTTATCTAGTATCTAATAAACTACTAAGCTTATATTTTATATAATTGAAAATAGTATTTATTAATCTCGAGAATCTTAGATTATATAGCTAGTAAAATATTAATAGCTTTTTTATTTTTAGAATTACTTATATTAATAACTTTAATTAAATTCTACTAATTATTTATAATTTAATATTCGAACTCTTTTTATTATTATATTATTTAAGCTTTCTCTTTTAATACTACTTTAATCTCTTATTATTTCCACTTTTTAAAACTCTAAATTATATTATATTAAAAAGTATTTTATAGCTTTTCTAATTTATTACTAGTTATTTTAATATATTTTTAATTCTGGATCTTATTCTATAATATTTTAATTAAATAAAAACTTGAAAAAATAAATATACTAGCTAATAATAATTTTATTTATTACTTTTTTAAAGCTAACTTAAGTTCTTTTTATAGTTTAGTTATATTATTATTAGGAAACTTAAAAAAAATACAGATTTTATTAATATATTTCAAATAATATTATTAATACTTTACTAATTAATCTAATTTTATAATAATTTAAAGAACTAGAAAAGAATCTAAAGTTAGACTTATATAAAAATAGAAGTTATATTATATTATTTATAAAGCCCAAATTCCAGAACTAGCTTCTTAATATTATATTATAAACCGGATATATTAATAGATTTTATTAGTATTAAAGCGAATTCTAAAATTAGAAAAATATTATATAAACTTGTATTTTATTTAGGATATCTAGTATTAATATTACTAGAAATGCCTTTAGTCTTATTTCTAGTATTTACTTTATTTAAATTATTCTTATTAAATATTATTAGTTAATTTATATATAATTAATAGTTTATTTCTAAATATAAATAATAGCTAATATATTTATCTCAACTATTATTTTAATACTTACCTGACCTTAATTATATTTAGTTAATTTATAATTTAGCTTATTAAAGAATAAACCCGGTTTTCGAGGCCTTAATTAAGATTTTCGAATATAAAATAGTCCGAGAAAGCTTTTTGAGAAATAGAAAATCGTTTGATTTATTACTATTATTAATAAAAATATATTTATAATCTAGAATAATAAATTAGAATAATTTACTTTTAGTATAGCTTTTTTTTATATTTTTGACTTTTACTATTATATTTCTATTTACCTTAATTTAATATTCCAAATAAGAAAAAATAGCTATAAATTTATATATTTTCTAGCTACTACTAGTATTAAATAAATAGATTAAATAACTGAATTTAGAAAACTAGAAATTATTTCTATTATAAAATAATAGATTTAATAAAGAAAATACAAATTATATAAATTATATATTTTTAAGAATAGCTATTATAAAATGAAATAGATAAAGAAAACTAATTTAAATATATATAGAATATTTAATAAAGGAAATTAAATAGCTTAAATAGTAATTTATAAATACTTATTTATTAAAATTAGATTAGTTTTATTTATATATTAGTTTATTACTTATAATTACTATATATTATTCTGGAATTAATCTGGCTTTATATATAAAATTTTAGTTTCTCTAGGCTTTTATAAGAACTTATTTATTATATAATTTCTAATATTATTTGGCTTTACTAAAAATCGAGAAATTGGCTTATAATTAATTTAATTCTATTCGAAATCTAATCTATTATATCTATTCTATAAAGCTTATAGCTATTTTAGTATAGCTAAGCCTAATTAATCTTTTTTTTATAGAATTGAGACTTTATAGTATTAATTATATTATATTTATTCTAGTAATACTTCTAGTTTTATTATAATAGTATACTAAACTAAAGAATTCTCGAAATAGTTTTTAAATTACTAGATTTATTCTTTTAATATATAATAGCTATAAATCGAGCTTCTTTTTAAATTATATAATCTCTTTTTATATAATCTTTTATATTAGTATATTTATTTATAATATATTCTTTTATTACTAGTATTTTATATTTAGTTTATATAATATTTAATAGAGTTTTTAATACTACTATTATTGTTACGCTCTGCCGCTTCACTAGTAAATTTAGCGTCACGTGATCACGCGATGACGCATACGGCTGGGGCTAGTATTTAGAACACTAAAGCTCCTGTATTCAGAGCTTCCCTCCTTAGTTTAGAATCCTCGGATTAAGAGCCACTCTACCTGCTTTCCAAGCCCAGAGCCCGGTTTCGTAACAATTATTATATAGATTATTATTTACTATAGCTATATCTAGTAAGAATTAATTCTTTTTTTTTATAAATCAAGCTAAATTAAGACAAATAGTATATATTATTATTTCTATAATATTAGAGAGCTTATTAAGATTCTTTTTTCTAATATATAATATTATAATATAGCTAGATAAAAGCTAGCTATATTATTATAAAGTGTTTTTTTAATTAACTAGATTATAATATATAAAGGCCTTACTAAAACAAGCTAATACTATTATTATTACTAGTAAGGCACTCTTATAAAAATAGTAATAATATAATAGTAATAAGAAAACTAAGCTATTACTAATATTTATATTCTAACTAATTTAAGTAATTTAAGAAAAAGAATTATCTATTATAAATACTCGAGAAATCAAATCCAGAATAAGAGATCGGGAATTATTCTTAGTTATAATAAGGGTAATAAAAGAATTATTCGGAATAAATCTATATGAATAGGAGTTTATAATATATAATAAGAATAAATAACTAGCTAAAGGCATATTAGAAAATAATTAAAGAAAATAATAGTTAAATAGCAGAAAATATACGACTTTTATAAATATTAAAAGTAATAGCAGGCCCGTATATATACTTTACCTAAAGTAGTAAATACTAAATCCGGGAAAGCAAACTATAGTATTAAGATAATAAATTAATATATATTAAATTTTAAAAAAAAAGTACTAAGGTATATATTAAATAGCCTTATATAAGCTAAGCTAGTACTTATATAAGATTACTTAAATATTAATTTTCTATAATAATGAATTAATTATTTTTCTCGAAATCTTGATTTTTTTTAGTTCTAGAAATTCTTTAATATAAGGTATTTATTAGTAAGTAATAAAATAATAGAATAAATTAGTGAGTTATGAAACTATAGTATTAAATTCAGTATAGAACTAATCTCTATTTCTTCTATAAGGTTCAGGGAAGCTTTCTCTAAATAGAAGGCCCTAATAATATATATATAATTATTGCAAAATAGCAAGAAATAGTAATTTATATAAGTGGTTATCTAATTAAAAGAAGCTCTAAAGGAAGCCTCTGGAAATAAAAGGGGGCCGCTAAGTAAGCGAAGCTAAGCTCCCTAGTACCCGTATATACGATATACCCCTCAGAGGCTTCTAATTCTATATATAAAGGAAATAGCTAGTAAAGTACTCCTACGGAGTACTCCTAGCAAAGCAAAAAGGAGTATATATATATAGTCTATCTCCCCTAATTAAGAGCTAAGAAACCGTCATTCCCTAATGCCTTATATTAAGCTAATAGAACCAAAAGGGGTAGGAAGCAAAGCGTCCCCAGATATCTCCGGTAGTATACTTAGTTCCAAAAAAGCCTAGCTCTAGCCCCGGACGGCTCCGCAAGCCCAAAGCCAGGAAACCACATCATATATACTATTAATACTCAAAGTCCCCTGGTAACTTCCCTCTATTCTTTATCTAACCCTTCTTCTCAAGCTGCCCATATAGCTTCTCGTATCCCTTTGCCAAGCGTTCTCGTACGGCCTTTAATTACTCGTCCATAGGCTATGGATCAAGTTTCTTGGTATAGGAACCAGTGGTTACAAGCTCTAGAATAGAGCAATTAACGGGCTTCCACGGGTGCTTTTCCGCTCTTGTTTCCTTATAAGAGTACGAGTGGCCTTGCAAATCAGATCATCTAGCGAGAGAAGCAAAGATCCCAAGTAAAAAGCGTTCGTTTTACTAAATTAGGGCCTCAAAGACCCTTCCGTATTACTCGAGTATACGAACGGGCTCTCCAAGCGTATTAGCCTCAATTACCAAAGCGAGTTACTATACTCCCCAAATAGGTATAAACTTGGCTACTATTACTTGAAGAAAGTCCTTGATTACCAGGAATCCCTCGACTTCTGTAACTCGGTAGGTTTGAGCTCGTACGAGAGCTTAGTACTAATTATTAATCCAGGCTTTGGGAGATTCTGAACCTATTCTGCCACGGTCCAGAATTCTGTTATAATCCTCCCTTACTTATTCCCGCATATTATTCTCCGATGGCTGGAATTTATTACGAAGAGCTCGTATAATATTCTAAAGAGAGAGCCTCTGCTAGGAAACGAGTAACTCAAGATGTGGTGCGAGCAGAGCAGGTTCTACCGTATGGTGTACCTAATCCCAGATATTCTAATACCGAGAGCTTTGCGTTAACTAATTCGATTGCTTGACAGAGTACTCCTTGAGCCTGAACGAGTATTCCTCCTTAATATTATTAAAACGAGCTGGACGTGGAGCTCTTGGTCATGCTCCCTTCTCTGCTTCTGGCCTCCTATCCGTATCCCATATCGCTAATAGAGTATTTCGCTCGATATTCGATTACTCAATTATTTAATCGATTATAAGAGGTGGGGGGGGGGGCTCTGCAGAGAGCAGGTGAGGAGCTTCTGGAGTATCGGGATTAACGAGGTACCACACGTTTCGAAAGGTGGAATTGATTTTAAGCTCTGCGTACTATGCAGGGAAGCTTCTGCGATTAGTAAGGCGTATATTAGAGACTAGTAAAGCTGCTATTCTAAAGAGAGGAATAAAGGATGAGAAAAACAGGTAAAACGTGTTCTTTTGGCGGTTATGACCGTAGTAAGAATAACCGCAATTACTAGAACGCTTACTAATTACTAATAGAGGTATGTAGCTAGTGCGCCAGGCTCATAATTATTGTAAAGTAGTAAGAAATAGTGATTTGCATAAGTAGTTGTCTAATTAAAAGAAGCTCTAAAGGGAGCCTCTAGAAATAAAAGGGGCCGTTGAGTAAGCAAAGCTAAGCTCCCTAGTACCCGTATATATAATAATAATTAATAATTTATAAGCCTAATACTTATAATATAAATAGTAATTAGTTATAAAGTTAAAGGGCTTCTAATTTCCCTAATTAATACCCGTAATATCCGAGATTCATTATATGCCCTTAAGTCACGTGTGATCCTGTATATATTATAACTATATTCTTTTCCTAGGATCTTATTCCCAAGATTCATTAATTTATTCTAGTAAATATTTAATTAATTATTTATTTAATTAAGATAAACTTCTAGTATCTTAAGAAATAGTTTTATTAATATAATCTAGATAATAGATATAAAAATTATTTAATTAGATTAGAGCTAAGTAAGTAAGAAGGAAAAGTAATTATATTTTAGGTATAAGGGCTAGCTAGTAATTATAATTTTATTTAGAATCTGAGTATTCTAATTAGCTTAATTTAAAGTACTAAGGCATTACCTCACGAAATTAATACTACTTATTAAATCTCGTATTAGAATAATCTAAATAGCTATATAAAAAGAATTCAATAAATATTTATATAAGAAACCTATATAAATATTTCTGAGATTCTAGAGATTATTTACGGGCTTCTAGGAGTATATATTAATTAGTTATACTAATTTCTAATTAGAACTAGTATAAAAACTAGTAATTAATTTAGGTAGTTCTTTATTTTTATAAAAAAACCTCTTTATATTATTATATATTCTTTTTCTTTCTAATAATTATATATATAATAACTTTTTCTATTATTATTTTCTAGTCTTTTTTTCTGCCTTTCTTTAAGTTTTCTTTAATTATTTTTAATTAATTCTATAATATCTTTTTCTAGCTTTATTATTTACTTATATAATAATAAATATAAAAGTAATCTTATAGCCTTCTTTTCTATTACTAGTAAATACTTGAAATATTTCAAGTATTTACTTATTAATTCCTTTATCTTATATATTATAGTACTTAGTAAAAAGAATTATAACTATTATAATAAGAGTTCTAAGTCTTATATATTAGTAAGTTCTTTAGCTTTAATATTTATTAAAGCTAATATAATTCTAGATTTCTTATTACTTATTAGAGACTTACTAGTTCTAAAAAAATACTATTATAATTTTTAAGAAATTTCTTAAAATATATTCTAAATAATATTATACTAATAAGAATAATACTATTAATTAGGTTTTTAAAAACTAGAAAAATACTAATAAGCTTCGGAATTCTTTTTCCTATCTTAATAAAGTAAATAATAATACTATTTGAGTTAGTATTCTCAAAATAAGTTTTTTCTAATATATTTAGGTATTTACTAATTTCTTAAAGAAATACTATAAAGTTTATTTTTAAGGTATTAATCTTATTACTAAGGTTATTATTAAGATTACTAAATAGTTTATTACTAGTACTTTAAATACTAATAATATAATACTTATAGCTATTTGAGACTTAATTTTAGAAGTTTAGGTCTTTTATAAGATATATATAGCTATTATAAGTTCCTTATTTACTTCTTTTAATATTCTTAATACTAATATTATTATAGTATAATTATATTTTATTAAGAAATAAGCGAATTCCGGAAAGTATTAGCTAATTTTTTACTAAGTTCTAAATAGGGCTAGTATTTAGTATTTTTACTTTAGGAATTAGAAATTTATAGAAATTAGAATTTATTTATTTAAGATACCTATAACTAGTTTACTTATAATAAATCTTTCTTAATCCTAAATCTTTTTTTAATAATTTAAATATAATTCTTATAAGCCTTAATAAAATTCTAGAAAATCTTTATAAATAAAAAAATCTAGGAAAAAAGTATTTCTATTATTATTCTAGATCTTTTCTTAATTATTTAAATTTTTTCTTTCTTTTAAATAGCCTTTTCCTTAATAGTTTAGAATTCTTTTTAATCTTAAAAAATTATTAAAAGATAGTTTTGGATTTTAAGTTATAGTTTTAGTTATATAATTTTAAAAGTTTTTTAAAATTTTTAAGATTAGAGAAAATAAATAACTAGATATTATAATCTTTAAGCTAGACTTTTTATTTAATTAAATACTATTACTTCTTACTTCTATTATCTTATTAGTAATTAATAATAGCTTTTATTTCTTATTTTTATTCTTTATTATTATTTACTAATTCCAGAAGTTCTTTAGAAAAATATAGGTATAACTTCTAATTCTTTTTTATTATATATTTTTTAAGAAAAGAAATATAGAAAATTAGATATAAATAATTATATATATTTAGTAGTTTTAACTTATATATTAAATTACTAATATATTTAAGAATCCTAAATAAATCTATAAATTTTAGCTTAAGCTTTCTTATCTTAAATTTAATATTTCTTATTAATAGTATTATCTAGGCTTCTTTAAAGTAGTATTTAGCTAACTAGTACTTATTATAATAAATTTCCCGGTTATTTTATATATAATACTATAAATTCTTAAGCTTTTTTTACTTTACTTTAAGAATTTCTAGCCTTTTATATATAGCTAGTACTTTTTTTATAATTCTATTCTTAGGATTTTATAGAAATTAAGAATAGTATTTATAATATATATAAAAAGATATATCTTATAAAACCTAATATTTTAAGTTATTATATATAAATTCTATAAAAGATAATTTCTTAAACTAGTTATTTTTTTAGGTATTATAATAATATCTTAAGTAATATTCTAGGACCTAGTTTTATTTTTTTATTTAACTATTTATCTAAGAATAATAAGCTATACTTAAATATTATTTATATATTAAGTAAAAATAAAAAGTAAACTAGAACTAGCTAATAAATACTATTTTTTAATTAGAAATAATTCTATTAGAGAAGCTAAAGATTAAGAAAATATATTTCTATATAATCTTAATAAGCTCCGGAAAATTAATAGTCTTATAATATATAATATATCTTATTATTTTAGAGTACTAGTTAATAACTATAAGAATTATATTAAAATCGGAATCTTTTACTAGATTCTTATATAATAATAAACCTATAATAAAATCTATAGAGATCTTATCTTAGGGTTTCTTAAGCTATAGTAAACTACTAAATAAACTATATAGCAAATACCTCTTTACCTTAATTCTCTAGTAAATATTATATTCTTAATAATAATTATAAATATCTTTTTTTATATTTTCTTAATACTAGAACTTTCTAAGAAACTCAAGAGTTTTCTCTATTTTATAATATCTAACTATTAGGTTATTATAATAAAGCTTTATAATTTCTTAATATAAAGCAGAATTATTAGATATAATAATTCTTAAATAGTACTTAAATAGGCCCAAATTATTTTTCTAGATTTCTTTTCTCTTAGTATCTTTCTTACTAAGCCTTTATTTTATAATATTCTAATATTAAGAATTATTTCTCTAAGCTATCTAGATAATATCTAGAAAGGATTTAGATAAAGAAGCTAGTATTATAGCTCTTTTAGTAGCTGTATATATTTATATATAAGAAATTAGGTATTTATAATTATCTTATTTAAAAACTCGGGAAACTAAGAAATCTTTAATTTTATTAAATAATATAATTATAAATACTCCTATTACCTTAGCTATAATAGTAGAGCCTTTAAGGCATTTCCCTATATTTTATTTCTTAACTAATTCTATAATTAAGAAATCTATAAGATAATTTATTTACTTGTTTTATAATAAATATTTCTTTTTAGTTATTATAAATATAGCAAGTATTAAATAATACTTATTTTAAAGAGGGAACTTTTTAAATATTTATAAGAACCTCTAAATTATAATTATAAAAGCTTTCTTTAACTTATTTTAAAAGATCGGAAGCTAAGTTATATTAATAGGACCTTTTTTATAATTAGGTCTTTTACTAGATTTATTTACTAGATTTAAGGCGCCTCTATAATAAATAATATTAAAATTATATATTATAAGATATATTACCTAATATACTTAATAGCTTTCTAGATACTTTATTTTTATAAAGTATTAGAAATTATTATAGTCTATAATAACTTTAATTATAAACCTGGATTTTTTAAAATAATAGTACTAATACTTAAAGGCTTTAATAATTATAAGTAGCTTTCTATTATAAGTATTATAATTATATTTGGCTCCGGAAAGTTTCCGGAACT